AGTTTCTAATTAGCATGATTAAGCATTAAGAGTAATATCACCAAAAAATGTAGTGAAAATAGGAATATTTGCAAAGTTATCAAGGGATAATTATCTGTGTTTTGTTTTTTAGTGATGGTGATTTTTAACAATATATTTAAAACATTTTTAAAATCAATTGCTCTACTGACATATAAGTCATGTACCATTTATCATTTTCACATATAATTATTTGGTTTTTAGTGTATTCATATAGCTGTGCAGCTGTCACCAGACAAAACCTTAAACATCTTCATTGCCCCAACAAACAAGACAACTGTACTCATTTCACTTTTATTGTCCAGCCCTAGGAAAGCACTGATCTATTTCCTGTCCAGTAGATTTGTCTATTTTGGACTTCACTCATAAATATAATAATACAATATGTGATTTTTTACAACAGGCTTCTCTCACTCAATCCACTGTTCTCAATATTCTATATATACTACAAAGTTCAACACATCCACACGTTATAGGGTCTGGAATTGCATGTTTCAGGCACTGAAGATACGACAAGCAATAAAACAAACAAAACACCTGCATTCGGAGGCTTGCATTCTAGTACCAAGAGAAAATCTAAAAGCCAGTGCTCAGTGCTGTGGAGAAAATAAATTGGTGAAGACGGATGGGTGGTGCTGACATACAAAATTCCTGTAAATTAAATAAGTCATCAGCATCCCTCTAAGCTTCCAGGGCATTTCATCTAGAAAGAGTCCCTTGTAAACTGAGATTATGTTTTGACTACTATTCAAGATTGATTTTGTTCATTTTTTTGACCATAAAAATAGTGCTGAACAAATGAAAGATAATAATTTCTCCACTGCTTGAGACAATATTTTCTTTTCTTTCCTTTCTTTTTTCTTTTCTTTTCTTTCTTTCCTTTTCTTTTCTTCTTCTTCTTTTTTTTTTTTTTTTGTACCAGGGATTGAACTCAGGACCTTGTGCTGAACCACTGAGCTAAATCCCCAGCCCTGAGACAATATTTTCTTTTAAAATCATCCCAACGTGCAACATTGGGACATTAGATGGCATGCTAAAGTGTTCAGGATATAATGGTGTGAAATACCTGTTAGGACAGCCTTTCCAATCTGTGCTTCTAATTTGAATAATGACCCTTAACATTATATTTGTCTAAAATTGTAAAGACACAGTAACCTAATTAAAACTTTGTTTGATACCATCAAATTTACTATAATATATGGAAAATACATCTAAAATCAAGAACAAGAAATACCTGAAAATTTATTAAAGTGCAGATGCCCATAATTACATGTTTTTGAATAAAACATAAATCTTTTGCATTCTTTTCTACCATTTTGAATCAATATTACAGTATGATTCTAACTTAACATATGTCTGAAGACTTCACCAAAGAGTCCACTGTTACCCACGTATTAAGGAACCTGATTTAACTCAACTTTGGCAACTGAAGACTTTGGATTAGTTACTTCCTTCAAATCCCTTTCAAGCCACAGTTCAAAATATTTCCCTTTATTTGAGAATTCCCACTTCTGCTGAAATATTTTTCTTGTTCTTTGCTTTGAAATATAGTAATTAATTATTAATCAAATATAATAATCAGCTCTAAAATACTGTATTTGTCTCCTGAAATTAGAAATGTTATTTTATATTTCTCTTATAGCTATTCTGAATGAATTGTAAAAATAGCATTTATTTTATTTTATTTATTTTTTGGTACCAGGGATCGAACTCGGGTCCTTGCGCTTGCAAGGCAGGCCACCGAACCACTGAGCTAAATCCCCGGCCTCTAAAATAGCATATTTAAGTGGTACCTGAAAATAATTTCAAAGAAAATTGTCATTCTAAACATTGTATCTAATAGGACTTCTCTTCCTCAAACCTAATTTTTACTCCTTTATTCTATATTGCCATAACAAGGCTTAAACGAGAATTGTGAAATACTGTGAGAAATCAGAATATTAAACAGAAAAAAAATCACTACCATTCAAAGCAACTTCAGATGGATTCTGCATTGCAAATAACATGAAAAACAGCATAGTCAGGTTTTTAAATACAAAGGCTTGTTTTTAGTCATTATTATAATTGGCAAACATCACCATTCTGTTCATACACCATGTGTCTGGTTGCAAGGATATGAGTGAGATGCAGGGAACATAACAACCTTTAGAGTCAGATTTGGACAGGTTATAAATGAGTTTTTATGCCAACCAATATCTAATTGATAGGTTTTATTATAATGATTGCAGCAGTAATTATCATAAAAAAGAGTTGTTCCTCAGTGAGTGCAATCTCTGCCGGAAGGACTTAGAAAAGCACTTTGCATCTATTATTTCACTATCTCAATACTAAGAGTTCAAATAAAAATGTAGCAGTTGGCAATAGTTCAACTAATCCTCATACTTTATGAAGTAGTTTCTATTACTGCCATTTTACCGATGAAGAAATTGAGGCTTAGGAGCATTAAATAACTTGTAGAAGTCATAAACATTGAACGTTACAAATAGAAAAGTGAGAAATCGAATCCAGGTTCACCTGAAATAAAGTTTATAATATCCTCTACAGTTACTGTTTCCTGTTTATTTTCCTCTTTACTGTTGAGGGATTTCTATTTAAAATACCTGTCATCTTAGATCTTGCTTTTTTTTTTTTTAACCTTCTATTTGAAATATATGAGATTTGGGCTGGGGATTTAGCTCACTGGTTCTGGCCCCTGCCTCGAAAGCTCAAGGTCCTGAGTTCAATCTCCGGTACAAAAAAAAAGTCAGAGCCATCATTTCTAAAAAAACCTATTTTTAATGTTTAAATTTTAAAATATTTACAGTAAAAACATGTTGTCACTAATCTCCCTCAAAATACTCCTCCTTGCTCTGAATACATTTATCATATCATTATTGCCATTTTCTGAAGCAGTTCTGGAAGTCTATTATGAGGTGTGATAAAAAATATATATAGTGGGGCCAGGAATTTAGCTCAGTGGTTAAAAAAAAAATATATATATATATATATGTATATATGTATATATTATAGTGAGAGCCATCCAACAGAAAGGCAGTCTTAAAAAACATTACAGCCTGTCTTCATCCTCCTTATTCACTGGATCTGACACCAGGTGACTTCTGGCTCTTTATCAAATTCAACTTGACTGTGGAAGGTAAACAATTCTTAATGAATTCAAGACATGGGACAGTCGTGACAACACAACTAAAGACATTTGGAAAAGAGGTTTCCAGAACTGTTTCAGAAAGCAGCAAGACTGACGGGATAAGTGTGCTCAAAGTGAGAGGAAATATTTTAAGAGAGATTAATAGCAGTGTGCTTTTACTATATAAGGATTTTTTAACTTTAAATATTCACTATATATTTTCATCACATTTTGTAATTATGAGTTCCTTTCTTCTGCCTATGCTCATTCTGTATTTGATTCTGCCATTTCACGGTTCCAGCTTTGATGTCTGTGACAGGACAGTTTGAGATGGCTATACATCTCTCTTCCTGATACTTTTTCCTGTACTACATAAGTAATACAACTGTGGTTTGAAACTAAATTACCATTTGATTTTTCTAAGGGGAACATCATATCAGCTTGCACTCGTACTGACTTTTGGACATTTTTATTTATTTTAAGTAGTTAGATAAAATTTAATCACCATACTCATAGTTAAATGAAAATTAGTATAGTATAAAAGCCAAGAAGTGAGCTTCATTTTTCATTTTTTACTTATCCAAGTAGATTCTGAAATCAGAAGATTAATGATTTTAAATATGGCTGTATAAATCAATTAATATATATTAAATTTCGTATTCTTCAAGCTTTTAAGAGTCAAAAGCTATCTTCTATTTAGGTTTTTCCTTTCTAGTTAGAACTGCACTACATTTCTGCTTGGAGAGGAAATCCATTGGTTTTTCCCAAGACAGATTTCTTGCCAACATAAATAAGTTAGACTCATTCCCCTGCTATGTAATCACATTTCTTCCATAGTAGCTGAGTTCCTTGATCAGAACTCTTATTTGTAAACAACAGAAATCCAAATTAAATTGGCTATGCACAAGAAGGGAGACTTTGTGCTTATTAATAAAAAGCTCTAAGTGATATCTTGTAAGTACTATCAGTTTAGAGACTCAAATAATGACAACCTCCCTCAGTTTCTGTTTTTCCTCTTCTTGGCTTTGTCCTGGTTTCTCTCTCTTCTTAATCTTAGATGCCACATGGTCATTTGCAGCATGCTCAAACGTATTTTAATTATACTAACAAATCAAAACATTGCAAAAGTGTCATTTCCTGGAAATTTCTATAAATTCTCCAAGTGGTCATTTACCTGATTTGGGCTACATGACTATTATATTAAATAAATCATGTGGCCAGCAGAGGAGACACAATGTATTGCCCAGGACTGAGTTATGTGATCATGCCACAACACACACAGCTAGGGTCCCACGCTGGGGAGAACAGTGGGAGATGAGAAAAAGACAACAAAGAGACAAAGGTTGTTCTTGATAGCTGGGTCCAGATAGGAGTCCAGTGCGCTCTTTATTTATAGTGTAGAAGTGCGGGGTCGTGGTATAAGTAGCCTAGGCTGAATGTGATTATCTCATGATCAGAGCATGTGCAGAAAGGGAACAAGGATACATAATATAACTGTCTCTTGGGGATGTGCCATCCACAATCTACAGTCTTAGTCAAACAGACTGTGACTCTCTCATCTATGGAGGAGAAAGGGAATAGGGATTAAGTGAAAGGCCATCTTTAGGCTCAGCCCGGGGCATGATCACCTAGATAGATCAAGTGATTGAGTACCACCCCACAAAGTGCAAGGACTGAGTTGGTTTTGCAGAAGACAACAAAGGATTATTGGAACAAAAGAAGAGAGAGGGAGGGAGTGAGGGAGGGAGGGAGGGAGGAAGGAAGAAAGGAAGGAAGGTCATACAACATCATCACCCACATAGTTTATAGTTGGTTTTGCAGAAGACAACAAAGGATTATTGGAACAAAAGAAGAGAGAGGGAGGGAGGGAGGAAGGAAGAAAGGAAGGAAGGTCATACAACATCATCACCCACATAGTTTTGATTAACTTAGCCTCTGGTACAATGGAGTTTTTTGCAGCTCAGTGTTGTGTGTCTATGCACAGATTCTTGGCCACGTGATCCACAGATTTCATGAGATTCTTGTTTGAAACATCAGTCTTCAAAGTCAGGATTCACTTTTGATAGTGACTAGAGAAGTCTACTGGGATATAAGACCGAGAAAAAGTGACAGTATGAAGAAACTCTAGAGATTTTTAACAGCATTGTTTTACTTTGCTTCACATGATTCACACCAGGATACAAAGGGATTCGATCTTAAGGAATTAGCATAAAATTCCAGGTTTACTGTCACTGATAAATTATTATTCCTCTTGCATCCAAGGAGAGACATTGGTTATTTGCTTTTACATTTTTAACATAACATTCAATTATTAAAAGTATTCAGCTAGCTTAAAAGTTTGGCATCATTTTAGGAACTATGGAAAGATGGTTCAAGTGACAGTCTCTCCAGGAGTTTGCATGCTAAACAGATATTCTTTCACCCAAAGCTATCTCTACAGAGAGGAAGAAAACAGAAAAATCTAAAACAACATGCTCATGAATAAATATGTTTGTCAAACTGGTTGCTTTGTAATTCAAGAACAGATTAGAAGAGCTGGAAAAATAAAGCAGAAATGTTACCCTTTTACTTGTTTGTGAAGTCTGAATAACCTTAATCATTATCTGTTCATATTAGCACCAAAGCTAAAAAAAAAATGTGAAAGAAAGAAAAATAATTGTAGAATAATAACCACGGGTCACATTGTTGTTTTATGAGCATATGTTTCATAAAATTAGCAGATTGTTAAAGCTATAGAATTTGGGACATACCTAGTGGTATATATTTCAGAATATAGTTTCTAATCATTAAAATGTATTAAGTATATCATCGTGCGTGTAAATCATATTGATTCGAAATAAATTTGACAGTCATGTATCATCTGAAATGATAAAAAAAACATAATGACCTAAAGATGTTTCTAAGCAGAAAATAAGATGTAGCTTTTACTTTGAGACTTTATTTAGCATCAAACCAATATCTAATTTTATAAGATAAACATAATTCTAACAGGTCTATTTCTTCGATGATTCCTGGAATAATGATAACATATTCAAATGAATTTAAAGGATATACAAATAAATCAAACTTGCAGCCCAAACTTTGGTTTTCACTCCTTATCTATAAGAATCTAGCTCACAAAATTTTTTTTTATATTTTGAGTAGTAGGTGCATGAATACAATGAGTACAGACCTTCTTGGATGTATGTAATTTTTTAGTTGACCTTGAAAATTAAATGAGACTTGAACACAATTCTGTTCTTCTAAAAGAATGTATAGCATTTTAGGATATTAATTTTAAATTTAATATATTATTAGTTGAATATAGTAATTTCAACTAACTCTAGAGTTTGCAAGGACAATGATGTTACTAATTTAGGTTACAGGAAGAGAAACAACTCAATGAGCTACCAAAGAAGAAACTCCAGCAAACTTCTAAGTCTACATTAACTCAAATTTATCAGAGTCCCAGATGTTTCCAATATTATTAAAAAAACAATAATTTGGTTTTTGTTTTCATTTCATTTTTGCCCCTATTAACAAACATTATGAATATAATTACAATATATTAACAAAGTCTTGAAACCTCTGAAAAAGAACACCATTTTTCCTCCTTCTTTGCATCAGTTATACTTGGAAGCAGAAAAAAAAAAAATCACGAGTTAGTTAAAGAATTTGTGTTCCAGTTAAGAGATAGGAGAAAATTTACTCCACATCTAACATGGAGCCAGAAGACAAAGAAGAAGAAAACTGATAATGGTGGTCTGCACTAGGGACTAAAGATTAAGATAAGTACATGGCCTCAAAATAGATGAATAAATCTAACTGCAGTAGAAGAGAATATTAATGACAATAATGAGTAAGGAATAAAATGGATTATATGTCTATAGTCAATGGCTAATTGAAGGACCAAGGAAGGATAAGACAATGTAGACCACTGATGAGTACTCTTTATTAGTTCTAACAATGAAGGCTGTTTTTAAATTACATTAAAAATGTATAACAAAACCAGGCTTGGTGGCCCATGCCTGTAATCCCAGCACTTGGGAGGCTGAGGCAGGAGGATCACTGTGAGTTCGAGATCAGCCTGGGCTACATAGTGAGTTCCAGGTCAGTCTCAACTACGTAGTGAGACCCTGTCTCAAACAATAAAAAAATATATATATATATAACAAAAGAACAATACATGAATGATACCATGCTATGTGCAAAGAATTACTACAGTCTAACAGGTTTCTTAGATGATTCCTAAAATAATGTTATCATATTCAAATGAATTGAAAGGTTATGCAAATAAATCAAACTTTGGGTTTCATTCCTTATTTATAAAAATTTAGCTCACAAAATAATTTTTTAATTTTGTCTTGTTCTCTTCCCCTGCCATCATTTCTGATATGTGGTTTTTACTTAGTTCCTGGAATGTTGTGAAAATATCTTGAAATATTTTAATGAAAATAAATTACCCAACTATATTTCAAACCAGAGATAATTCTGCCCAAAGAAATAGGATTGTGGATTAAAAATGGAATGAGAGACATAGGGTAATATAAGTTGATAATGGAGAGGAAAAGCTATCTGAGGATATATCAGGAATTCTCTTTATCAAACCTTCGTGCTCCATCCTCAAATGGCTTCTATAGAGACACACTTTTTGTGTATAATTTGAAACTAAATTTTATTTTCACCAAGTATATGTACATAATTTAAAGAATTAATATTTCCAATTGTCTTTTATGTTATTAATATATTGCTAACTCATCAATTTCTTACATATGTATAGATATATAAATATATTTCTTTTATATTGATTTTACGATCTCCTGAGTTTAAAAAACTTTCATCTAATCTTCCAAATGCTTGTCAATAGTATGTTTTCCTTTAATTTATTAAGAACTGCTAAAATATATTGAAAAATGACTTGCTTCATTTTTTTTCTTCCTCCAAAGGACCCTCTTTTCTTTACTTCAATTTGAATGAATTATTCCTCGCTGAATTATAATCTTTCAGGGAAATATACAAATGTCCCTGGAAATTCATAATAATGATTGAATTTTAGTAAACTAAATGTTATCTGAGAAAAAAATTTGAATTTTCCCTCAATCCAATATACCCATTCTCTTAGTTCATTTTATTTTGCTAGAACTGATTACTGCAGACTGGGTAATTTATAAAGAAAAGAGTTTGTTGAGTTCACAGTTCTGGAAGTACAAGAATGAGGTGCTAAAGATGTCTCCTTCGCATTGCGGCTTCCTGCTGGGCTATGACATGGTTATAGGTATCACTTGGCAAGACAAAATAAAAACAAAAAAAGCATTCCAGAGAGCTAGTCTTTATAACAAAGGCTATCCTGTGATGACCTGTTAATCTATTCATTAGACCTTGCCACCTAATAACCTCTTAAGGGTTCTATTTTAATACCTTACCTTGGGAATTGTACCTCCAGTAGGCACATTCAAATCATTGCATCCACCAGACCTACTAATGAACATACACAGAATCATAGAGAAATTAATTGTGTGTAGATTGCCTGATTCATAGTGATCCATATAGTTTAGCCTATCAAAAATAGTTTAAATATACTTTATCTGATGATGGTAATAATCACATCATGTCCTTAAAACCACTTATTACAGGGCTGAGGATTTTGCTCAATGGTGCCGCCACCTGCCTCACCAGCGCAAGGTCCCTGGTATCAAAACAACAACAACAACAAAAAACTTTACTACATTTTGATTCCACCTTTATTTGTTTAGCATTAAAGTCTATCCTCTCAGCCCCTGAACTTTCCTTTATTAAAAAATGATTTGAACACACAAGTTGGTCCATGGTAGATTCTCACTTTAGACTATAGATCTTACAGATTTGATGACTTTTTCAAATATTTATATAAAATATGTATATCCATGCAATCGCTCTCCCAGTCAAATAGTAGAACATTCTCTTCAAAAGATCCTTTCTGCTCTTCTGCATCCCACCTCATCAGAAAAATAGGGAGATTATATATATTTCAAATTTTTAATTTACATGAACAGACACCAAATACAGTATCACTGAGCCCTTTCTGCAACATTTCAGCAAAAGCTAATTTTAAATGATCAATCTTTTGAATGTACCTTTTCAAGGAAAAAATATAAATGTCATTTGATACCCACATGCAACTGCACAAATTTGGGGGAGAACTTAATACAAAACAAGATTGGCTTCAGAGAACTTTTCCTTTTTTGTTGAGAGGGAAGGTAGGTGAGAGGACAGTGGGAGCTCAGAAAACATTGATTATTGTTCAATACTGAGAGCAGCAGGGGAGGAAAATTAAAGCAGAGGAGTAGAGAAAAACAGCAGCAATATCTTTAAAATCAGCAACACTCCTTTGTGGGGTAGAAGTACCCAAGGGGAATAGAATCTTAGAAGGTCCCATCTCCTTGATCTTGCTGCACTCTGAGTAAATATAAAACAGCAACACATTTGTGCTGTGAGAAACCAGAGGAAAAAAATAGGTAAATCACTGATGGAAATATGCCATCCTGCTGCATCAATGAAGGAGCAGTTCTACTCCTGAACTGAAGGCTAGTTATTATATTTATTCAGACAGATACATAAAATGTCATACATATAGAATACCATGAAAAGTTTAGATGCATGTGTATATTGTATGTTTCATCACGTTAAATACACATCTCTTTAAATGCTGTTTTTAAATTGGTCATGACAGCATTCAAAATCCCTTTTTACTGTATTTTGAAATATATTTCACATTACTGTCATATATAGACACCTGGACTGTCCAATAGCACAACAGAACTGTGTTCTAATTGTATCTTAGAACTCTGATCAGTCTCTCACCGTCCCTCCTAAAGCAACGACACCCCCTTGGTCTGTGGTAAGCACCATTCTACTCTCAACTTCTTTGATGAGAAAGGTTAACTTTCTTCTATGCCAAATGTGAGTGGGATCATGTGGTATTTGGCATTCTGGGCTGGCTTATTTCATTTCACATAATGCTTTCCAATACCATCCAAATGGTCACGAATGACAAGGTATTGTTTCCTTCAAGCCCAAATCAAATCCCATCCTTTCCATCACCTGTGCAAGGCTTCTCCATT